ATACTGTCACAAAGTATTTTAGTTTTGGTCCTACAATGTTCATTACACACAGAATATGCTTTGGTTACTGAACTTTAAAAATAAGAGGAAAAACAACATTTACAGTATTAATGAATCATCTCAAAATCCTGTAAATATTTCTAGAGTATTTTTTGAAAATGCTAAAAGCCCCAGTTACTGTAAATTAACATCGAGGTTACAGCAGCCCAATAACTGATAGTAATTGTCTTCGAGTGCAAAATTTACACAGTTAAAGAAGATAATCCTGCTTCTCAGTGACTTCACATGACCTCCTCTTTGCTGTGAGAAGAACACTTGTATGCAGCACTTAAACACCTCTTTTACATTTGTATTTGATTAGTTTTAGGCACTATTCCTTTACTGACAAGTTTGCATTTTTACATTTTAGTGGTTGCATGAGACCCATTGTACAACCCTTAACTTACTAATTATATTATCAATCACAATATTTGACACGGTATAAATATATTTTATACCAGGACATGCACACCACAACGCTGCAGAGGCAGCATCTACCTTGACAGCATAACCCATATATTAGCGGCACCTTCTCTAAATGTGAGTAACTGCTCCATAATAAATCTGTCCAGGCTATCTACTCTTGAAGCCTAAGGATCCAGTTTGATATGAGAATATTTTTGCACATAATGAATTTGCTGCAAGGCAAATTAGTATATAAAATGTCCATCTTAACCCTAACAGTGACTTTAAGCACAATGCAGCTGCTGAAAGGTTTTTAAGAGAATAGCTAAAAGCTGTGCAGATGCATAACCAACCCATGACATAGTTTAACTACAATCTTGCCATATGACACAGTTAAAATGATTGTGAAACACAATTTAGAAGCTGCATTTGACCTAAAAATAAACATGACAGCATTACGCTCATCAGAAATGAATAATTGGCACATAAGTTCATGACAATGGAATAAGGTGTCAGTTAAAACCACATGTTCCGTTCAGATCAAATCAAAGGATCCTTTGCTTTAAAAAAATAATACGTGTATAAAATGACCACATTCTCAACATTTTTTCCAACACACAATAAACTATTTTTTTTGCAATTAAAAAAAAAATCAAAACAATCAAAGTGCGTGTTATATTTTTCCACATTAAGACCTACAATAATACCTTTACTAAAATCTCAGAAGCAGAGTTAGTAGGGGTGGCATCGCTGTTAGATGGTGAAGTGATGCCAAAACATATCAAGTCTAAGGATGGCACTGCACAATCTTTGGGAAAGTGGGAACTCATGATGCTTGACTGCCCTCTTTTTCAGAGCAGACTCTTTTTGCCTTGAAGCTGGCAGTCTGAATGCTGTCTGCTCCAATCTGCCTGAATACAAAAAACTGCAAAAAAAGGGAAAAAAAGGAAAAAAAACCCCCTGCTGTCCATGTTTAGCCTGTTTCTCTAGCATTATCTCCACTGTCGCTGAAGTGCCAAGGCTGAAAGGGCCAGCATGGTTGGCAGTGCTACAGACGGTGCACAGAGCGGGGCAGAGTTATCCACAGGCCCACTCCGGTCGGCTCTCACCACGGGGATTTCAGTCGCAGCCGTACCGTCCATGTATGTGGGGCAGACCTCTGTGCAGCCGCTGCCACTGCCCGAGCCACTGCCTTCATCGCCTGCAATACCGTAACACAAGCCAGAATGAGCACAGCACTGCAATAGCAGTGTAACATTGCTCAAACTCTCCAGCAGACACTGTGGAACTTTCTCATGTATAAATTAAAGGGTTTAAATATCACATGATTATCACCCACCTGGTGGGAAATGTGTCATTCTCCGTTTTCCTTTAGTCTCTTAAATTGTCTTAATTTTACGGTCAGCACATTGTATCATAAACTCAGTGTTGTTCAGATATGCTAATATATACACACTACAAACATGCTCAACGGTAAATAATAAATAGACACTGCCTGGTTAGCACAGTCAAGCATTCAGCTTCAAATATATTTCTCATCAACTTATGGGAGACTTAAAACAATTCTTAAATTAGACTCAATGCTAAACTTTTATTCATCAAGTAGACATTAAGTAAAAATCTGCAAAGATGTTTAAAAAATGTGTCTCCCTATTTCTACTGCCCCCAAGTGGCTAAAATGAACTTAGCAGTGAGTATTTACTTGTGTCTCAAAATTTCATAAACCTGGCAGAAGATACGTTTTTTTGTTTTTGTTTATTGTTATTATTATCCATTATTATTATTATTATACAATTTTTGTTATTTGCACCTTTAGTTCTGCTTGCAGTGTTACTGACGTTGATCATCTTTTCCTTAGGGTTAGGCAGACAGCTTATTAGTAGTGAGTTGTTCTATTTGTGTGTATGACAGAAGTGGCAAAGGGCTTACTTGAGTCTTGAAAGTAGATATCATTGCCATTGTAGGCATTTTTCAGCTTGTTAGTCATCACCCTCAGAGCCATGATCTGCTGACGGATGAGTGTGTCTGGGCGTGTGATGTCAACACCCACTTCAGGGTTATTCACCTGGTTGGTAAGGCCATCCTTTTGGACCTCAGGAAAGTACCTTGATGGAAAAAGAAAAGAAAAAACAACAGCTTTCATTGATACTGTTTTGTTGCTAAACAAAGAAAACCTTTACTTTGTTTAGTTGTTATAGACTGCTTTCTCTGAAATCTCATCAGAAGCATTCACTCAACAAAAACAGAGACAGGCTAAACATGGTCGAATTCCATAAATGTTTTGAGTCATGGGTCCAGTACAGCACTTGGGAATTGCTCTTTGAGGTAACAACAATGTTGGAAAAATGAACATTTGACCCAGTCGTGTAGGGTAATGTTCTGACATTCTTTTGACATATTTCTCTCGGGAAAACGTGTCAGCTGAATGCACTCCTGCTCGATAAATAAGCGGCAGGTCGTCATGTGATGAAATTCCACAGATCATCTGACACAGCAGCAATTGTTCTCCATAAGTCCAGATCACTCTGGAAAATACACACATCTGAAATTTTGCTGAGGTGAAAGAGGCAAAATTTCACTTCTTTAATTGATGTTGTTTTTTCTACCACTGAAAATAGCATTGAATATCAATTAAAACAATTAAAGAAGTTTAAAATATTCAAAATCATATAGTTGATATAATGATTAAAAGCAAAAATTGATTTCTCAGTTAGATCAGTAATGGCCGGGGAATCTGGAGCCCTAATGCAAATGTTAGCTTTTTAAAATGAAACCAAAATAACAGATGGATCTAGATGCTGGTTGAACATTTAAAAACAAAAGAAGAAGAAAAAGAAAAATACAATTTCACAAATATGCCACCAAATTCAAGACGCATGGAAGCAGATGATATTTTACACGAGATGAATTAAAACCACATAGAAAAGTTTTTTTTATAATGTATAAGACAACAGCTTACTTTTAGTTCAAATCAAAACGCATGCTAAGCTCTTGCAGAACAGGTGAAAGCACATAATCTGATTCTTAATTCTAGGCTTAGACTTCTTAATATGAAGCAGGTTGAACAGACTTTGGACTTCTACCCTTTTGTGTTAGCTGGCATTAGCTTCGGGCTCTGTTGCCCTTACCTGCCCTTGGTGTGTCCGTTCCAGCACTCCTCTTCGCTGGCATTTCCAGCGGTCACTCTGTCTTCTACACACATCGCCTCAGGCAGGTTGGACCAAAATTTCTTGAAGTCCTTTAGTTTCTCTTTTATGTCAACCACCTACACAAGGACAGGGGTCATTGTGAGATAGGAATAAAGCCTCCTGTATAAGTACATGAAGTCTGACTTCCAATCAAGGATGATACATATCATAAATACAGTTTCAGGGATGTTATTGATGTTTTTATATGCTTACAATGTAACATTAATACAAAAAAATCAGTATCAGTTCAGTTCCTCACATCACAGCCCCAAATATTAAACAAAATACGAGTCCAGCAGTACCTACAAGAATAGATGGTCATAAATATTTACTGAATTACATTTTTATTGCACATTAATATGGCGTTTATTAGCAGCTATAAGCTATTCATTATGTCTCAAAACAGTCTTTTTGTATCTAAAAACTCTGCACAGTTAATGTAATAAAAAAATAGAAGCTAAAGAGAAAATGTCTACAAAGTCAAACTGATTGAAGTAATTACACAAATTGAAGTCAATAAGGCATTATGTCTCCTAATATATGTATGACATATGAAAAAGACAATGTGCTGTTTTTCTAAAAAGTACATGACAGTCCTCTCAAATGCTCCTATTTCTTATTTCTATAGCATCAAATCAGAACATCAATTGCCTCAAGGTGGTTTATATTGTAAGGTAAAGCTCCTATAATATTACCATTACTGACAGTCATGATTAGTCATTAAAAAAACAAATCCCACAGTGTTACTAACAACAGTATGTGGCTGTAAAATCATTTGAGAGAAAATACAACCACTAAATTAAACTAAGACATTTCTGACACACAGTGGATGAGAAATGGAAAGTTGAAAACTTGCATATGAATGAGATGAATAAAGCTTACTGTTACTCTGGATGCATCTCGTGTGAAAAAGGTAGAGAAGCATTTCACTTTTGCTCACTAACACACCTTAACAAGCTGATTATAAACCTCAGGAAGACATCTTCGCACTTGAACTCGTACCAAACGATTTGGGTTTAATTTTTCCTTCTCTGTTGAGTATCAAATGTTTGCATCATGGAAAGTAAGACTATGCAGGCTTGCAGCAATCATTTCAAACTGAATGCCAGACAATAAATGCTCCTTTGCATCCCAGCCATGTGACAAAGTCAGATATCGTTTCCTGACTTGAGCCTGTTGAACTCCAATCTTTCATCAAACACACAGAATTTGACATATTTCACTGAAGCTGAGGGAAAGCCTGATAGCAGCAGGTTGGCCCCATTATCTTTTTCCGTCTGACTTGCTGTTGGCTTACGTGAAATTGTAGAGAACCTGAGCAGAACATGAAAGGTGCTGTACTGACTGTGTGACGCTGCTGTAGGCCTTGACACTGCTTTTGATGTGTTAATCCTGTCACACTGATGCCAAAGCACTTGAGCAGCTCTGATACTGCCCAGAGGGTCGAGGCTACACTCAATACAAGAGATTGACTGGCAATGTTTGACTAAACCTCATACATTAAGTTAAGTCTAACAAGTGAGATTCACAGTTTTCCTCAGGATCTGCTGGCAAAAAACAGAACCTGTGGAAAAAGTGGGAAATGAACTAGGAATGACACATTTTTGATATGAAAATATTCGATTAATACCTCTATCAAGTATTGCGTGGCCATTATTTCACGTGGATGCAAGTGAAAAGGTATTGCAAGCAGCAGCTAATTTATTATCCTATTTGAAACAGAATTTTAAAAATCTGAAAGCTTCATGAACTGGAAAAAAAAAAAACAACCCTAAAAAGTCTGTGTTAAGTTTGCAAAAGCGAAAGGTTTTGCAAACTTAACACAATTATAAACAAGCCTCTGAGAAAAGTCTGCCTCTCGTCTAACTGGACGTTGCTTATGAACAAATACTACCACTCCAACAAATAACCCTCAAATGCAACCAGGCCACTAGATGGCAGTATGTCTTTGAGATCTGGTGAGATGAAAGTGAGTAGACGAAAAATCCAGGGAGGAAATGAAAGTGACAAAATAACCTTGCAAATTGAAACTAATTATGTTTGCTAATGAAGCTTCTTTAACATCAAAGTTCAGCTCCATGTGGCCAAACATAGATGGAAGACATGACATCCAAACAGATGTCAGCAGAAAGCCTAATGGAAGACAAAATTACACACACAAAAAAACGCACACACGCAGACACATACACACAAAAGACGTCTACGGTGTAGAAGAAACGCATGTCCCCATGGTATGTGAGGAAGCAGAGCAGAGATATGTGATTCTTTTTATAATCTGCTACCTATTACTGACAGCACTGACATTCTCATTAAAATCAAAATGAAGATCACAGACACAGCACCTCCCCGGCGCCTCACATCAGGATATTACATAGCATTTGTTTTCAGTGACATCCTAACAAATGACTATTATCATGCTATGTGATAGCTGCTCCAATTCCTAATGACACTAAAGGTGGCATTAGTGTGAGATATCTACAATCTATAATAAGGGCTGATGAGGGAGTTGATAGAAGCATTTACTCAATAGAAGTGCAAGCTGTATTCATTTTTAGATTATTATTCAGTCCCAGGACTTCAATAACTTCTAAATTTAAGGACCATATAAAACACCGACAACACAAGGACCTTAAGATATTAGAAGTGCTGCTAAAAAGACTTATCTTCAAACGCTGCTAACTGTACAGATGTTTTCCACTGAATGATGTCTTCTGAATAATTTCTAAATGGTTTAAATATAACAGATCAGCGCAGAAACGTAGCTTTTGATTTTCATTAAAAATATTTTAAATAATTATTTAAATAAAAAGAGCTAAATGAGCCATTTGAAAACCCATTAAACCATCTTCTCCTGCAATGATATATATTTGCTATGTATTCTATAATTTTAAATATACAGTGTATACACTGTCTGCACTGAAATAAAAAGTGGTATATATAGATATATAGGCATATATTTCCTATCCTTTATATGCACTATAAAGGTCTTTGAGGCTAATCCTGCAGGGATGTATGTAGCCTTGCTCTTGTCCTGTTTTATGCATCATATCATCTATATTATATATTACTTACAGGAACAGTGCTGTATCTTTATTCACTGATCTACCAGTGATACAGTGTGCAAATGCATGTCTTTAAATGTTTCTTTAACAACTGTAAAAGTTTATTAATTCCGATATTGAATTAAGATAAATCCTTTAACTTTGGCAAAAAAATAAATAAATGTGAACTATACAGCAGTGTTATTATTAATGTAGTAAACTTATTATTATATACCAGTAACAGCTGACATGACAGCTTATATATCTGGAATATATAAATACGTGCATAATAAATGCATAATACATTTAATGCATATTGTTTCTTGTTAATGAATTCCATGAACGGCGCAAAATCAAACAGGTGCTACTTAGTCCCTCACTCTCCGAGTACTTCCCAACTTCCCAGCTGTGCATGTGGCATTTATCCTCTCGCCTGCTGGTTACTCAGGAGACGTAAATGCATGTAGTTTAACTTTTAAAAGAGGCTTATGAATTTCTTACAGCAACTGGGCACTGGGAAGTTACAAATGTTTCCCAAGCAGGAGTTTATTTGCTGAGCACAATTTAAAGTGGCTGATTAATCCACGTTTGGTGCACGAACGGGTACTTGCGCCCGCAGGATGCAGTATATATACATCCACAACAAATGGGCCCTGTTTATTGCTCTTAAGATACATGTTGCTCAGTGCAATTGTATGGTGAGGTAATATGTCTTAATTAAAATAGAAACAAACAAACAAACAAAAAATACAATGGAGCTACATTGCACAAGTGAATAAGCTAAATCAGGATTTGGCTTCAAGATCAATATTCATAACGTTTTTGTAGGTTTAATGAATTTGATGACAATAATAAAGTAAAGAGCATCAGCAGGTTTATCTTTTAAACATCTTCTCCTTAGCTTAAACAAAAAATATATATAATTATATTTATCTTGAAGCTTAATCATGTATGCAGCACCACTGCCAACTCTCCACTTCCCTCCTCAGACATATTTTTTTCTTCTTTTACCCCATTGCCCTGTTTCCTGTCATGAACCATATATTTCTTCACTGCGCTGTTCTCTCTCTCTGCCTACTCGCTGTGACTCTGCAAGGTCCCCACTCTTTTTGGTCTTTTTCTGTCTTGCTTTAGTTCTAAATGTAAGTGAAAGTTTCATGGCTAGCTGACCCGTGATCTTACAACAGAGCTCCCATTCAAAGGAGATTTGTGGGTAAAGCCTCTGGTGTCTTCCGACTTTGATATACAGAATAAGCTCAGTCTTCTCTATCCTTTCTGTATTGAATCATTTTATCCAAGCTTTCATTTTAATTATTTTAACGAGCACTATGTGTGTGTGTGTGTGTGTGTGTGTGCAATGCAGTTAATCATACATTTATTTAATTGTCCAGTTCTTTTTTGTCTCTTTATGGCTCTTATTTCCACAAGAAAAGATAAGCAGAGTTGTTTTTTTTTAACAGCACCAAACCACAGAAAATAAATTTAGCAACAGCAATGGAAAGTAGCCTGTAATGTATTACAGCTCACACAGCGTGCTATGATCCAAACATAACCTCACCTTTAAACTTGCCTTTTTCACCTCAAATGAAATCTGCCCAAACAGCCCAGATATGCGATACAGTGTTTACTCGCTGTAAAAAGCTGTTGGCAAGTTCATGTGGACAAACATGAGGAAATGTTTACAGAGAGTAATTATTTCCAAAAATCAGCCATATGAGCATATGAGATTCCGGTGTTAACGGGCTTGAAGTCTTTGTGTTTGCACACACTTAAAGTGTTTCTTACAATATTTATCACCCATGCTGTTTTTCTGTGCACACAGCTGAGTGTGCAGGCAGGCAGATCATACGTTCTCGTGGCTCTCTAACAGTGTGGCAGCTGTGTGCCCTCTTTCAGCTCAGAACAGAAATGTGAGTGAACTATACTTTGACCAGTGGTTTTCAGACGCCCTTGCCTATTCTCAGATCAAAAGCTGACGTGTCGCTGGCTTTGAAGTTGCAGTCATACTCCTTGTGACGGCACAATGTCAGGGCCCT